ATCTGCTACTTCTCTTCTACGCTTTTGTATCTCGTTTTGCAGGTTCTAAGTTTGTCATCAAAATCTTTGCGAATACTTCATCTTCACTTATAAATTTTGTTTACTCTGCACAGTTTTCGTACTGTAAACTACTCTGATAGGTTTCTCTTTTTTTCACTTTTAAGATTAGATATCGTAACTCCAAGAAGCATGCCTATTATATTTCGTTGGGTTTAAAAGCAATACCTCTAACTTTGAACCATTTCTCTTTTCAGTTTTACGTGATGAAAGAGGGTGTCATTGTTCCTGAAGAAATGAAAGTAACCATGGAAAATGAAAATGATGAGATTTTACACGCCATAGAGGCGCCTGAGATGATCAGGATCAGGGAAATGGGTATTAATTTTACTTAAATCATATGACGAACTTGGTGTTGTCGGTTGTTCAATTGTTTGTTTTTTATTTTCATTCAACTGGAGAGAAACGGAGAATCTACTTTTTTCAAATATCTGTTTGGTGAAATTACCATCAAATTTGGTTGAATTTAAGAAAAAAAGAGAGTGCTGTGGAACGAAGGCTAATTCTTTTCCCCCTCCTAAGTTTCATGAAATATTTCTCGTGGAAAACACAAAGCCCACCGGCCAATTACTCGGGAAACGCTTGTTTCGACGAGAAAGGAACGATTATTTGAAATTGTTGGTTTTTTTTTTAAACAAAGAAGAGCAGAAATCTATTGTGATTGATCTATATTTAATTCGTAATGGTTCCAACTGCAGTTGCAAGGAATGGGAATGATCGCATGTCTGAGTGAAACCAGGTCCTTATCCCATTTTCTGTGAATTGCTGAATCAGCTGTAGTTTGAACTATTTTTTATTGTTTATTTTAAGAAAGATGCAATGCGAATTTGTACAGAGCTCACGCTAATGAAATTTCATGTCCTGAGTAGTCTACTAGGTACTGCAGACTGAAAATTTTATGCTTGGGAAATGGCCTTTTTTAATTATAGGTTAGTGAAATACATGCACGGTAATTCAAAAGAATATGAGCATGACCTTAAAGAGGGAATTTCCTGTCAGAATCAAGAGAATTTCTTATTCTTATAGAAGACCTAGGCTCCCTCACTCAACAGCGATGTCAGAGGCTACGAGAAACGGCGTTAGGAAACAAATGAGAAAAGTAACTTTCTGAACACTTACTCTAAAAGTTATTCGGGCATTGTTGAAAATAAAGGCGACATTAACATTTTATGCATAGACGTCGTACATTTCTAAAATACTGCCGAGAATGTATAAAAAGTAACCCCATCATCAAACCAGTCACTATGAAACTTTCGAGACACGACATTATCTCGGTTGTCTATACTGCAGAGGGATTCTCCTCTGAAAGGTCATTCTCTACTACCGATAAAGCTCCAATTGTCGTACTCTCTGAGCTAAGGATGTTGAAGCATTTTCAGAATTTATTGTACATAAGGTGACGAAGAGAGCCGTCTCAACTTTAAGCAGGTATTTGTTCTTACTCAAAAATGTTTTTGTTGAATCCTCTTCGTCTCTAACGGTAGCCGGTTTTATAATTGTTATGTTCCCTATTTTCTATATTTTTTTCTTCTGACGTTCAATTTTTTTTGTTTGCGGCTATTTATTGTTTGCTAAGAACAGAGGACAAAATGTGGCTAAACTTTCCATAACTTTGAGCGGAGTCTACTTTATTACCTTTTTTAATATCTATGGTGAGCTTCAAACTATGACCTTTCATGCATACATTTACCTCGTAGAAAAACCCACATTCGCAAATTCGACTACGTTTGAGCAAAATTGTGTATTAGACTTCTCTCCACATTTCGAAATTTTTAAATCTGAGAAACTCACTTTCAACGGGCGTATTTTGCACGGACAAAACTGATTAATCCTAAATGAGTTATTTAATTTCCTCGTGTTTTTTCTATACGTTCCCTTACGTACGGTAACAAGTAAGGACTTAAAATATTTGAAATCTGTTTCTTAAAAAACGAATTCGAAATCTTTGGATTCCTTATACTAACAATTTTTTTCGCTGACAGGAAACTAATGATTATTTATATCACTTCCAAAACAAACCTTCAAACTACTTTAACTTAAATATTTGAAAGTTTTAAGGGTTTGTCGCCCGGATGTGTGAGAGACTCATGCAGTTTAATTTAAAGCTTTCAAAGCACGAGGAAACTTTTTAAACACAAGACATTTGAATGAGGTGCAATGAAATATGCTGTTTGTCGTCGTTCATGATTTTTGATAAAGCTAAAATACATGTGAAGTGGAAACCAAGATATTTTTTGATAATTTGCTGTGCCGGAATACTTTCAATTAGAATTACATAATAAAAAGTTTTGAAGTGTGGAGTGATTTCAATAACTTGCAGCTGTTTTAGATTTGTCACTAAATATGTTCTGTCCACGGAACTGTGTGGCAAGCCTGAAAGTGCCATCAGATTAAGTGATTTCTCGTTTGCTCAAAATTTTAAGACTCCTCTCAAGAGGAAAGCAATATTTAGTTTTCCACGGAGAGAGTTCACTCCGTTTTCGCTTTAAATAAATTAGGAGAGACTGGTTACGACTGAAACTTTAAAGATGACTCAGTGCATGTAATAACCAACGAATTGGGGTCAACTTTACGTCAGGTGCAGAGAACACTCCTGAATGCTATCGCCTTGCTTAAAATCCTTTTAAGTGCTTTTCAATGGAGTTTTGTAAAATCAGCGCATAAAAAGGAATTAAGACCAGCAAATCAGAGCTCACCTTAAGCTTATACATGCAAGCCGACTCAAGCTCGGGCAAACCAACTCGCAATTGGTTTCTGTACGTTTGGATGTGATTGGCTGAGAGGATGAAACTCTGTTGAAAATCGCTATTTTAGCCGTAAAATGAACTGAGGTTTATTATTGAAAATGAGTTTTTACAATCTTGGCTGCTATGCAGCTGTCTTTGTGTATCGGGACTTAAGTCTCGCTTCTCTATATCCGAGATCTGCGTTCAGTTAGGTGTTAAATTAAATGACTGTGTTCATGTGTGTGGGACTAAATTTTACATGAGCAAGTACCATAGGGTGACGACTTGGAGAACGTACTAGCGTAATAGGATGTTTTTGTTTCAATCTTACGAAGTTACTCGATGTAGTGTTTTCCCACGTCACCTTGTCTCGCGGTTTTCCATCGACTTCAAAAGATCTAGGGAAAAAGTATGCGACATACGAAGTAGCACTTAGACAACACGTCAAAAGAACAATTCATAAATCAAAAAGATGACGATTTCCTAACGTTATGTTCAGAAAAGTGGCAATATGTTTTGCAGTTAATTTAGCGAACATTTTTTTTTATAATGGAAACCCTCGCAGACTTCCTCAGCTGCTTTGTTTCAACTGTGCGCATGTAGCATAACAGGAAGCTTAATTTATGGATGCACCAGCTTTTATTTCTGTCACTGCGTAGTGCAGTTAGATAGCTCACTTGATTAGAATTAAACTTTACTGGTAAAAATTTGATGATACGTTGTAGAGGCACGACACTTGAGGCTGTGTTTTAGAATAACAGACTCAGAAATGCCATCAAATCAATATCTAAAGTTTATTCCATCAAGTAACATCCCTGAAGCACTTCGGCCGCCTTTTAAACATGCTTTAATTGCTCAAAGAATCGTGGAATGGATTTTGAGTGTGTTTGCTTTTTGGTTTTAGATGTAATAGGTTTTCGTTCAGCTGAATCAAAATGAGGAAATAAAAAGGGAAACGACAAATTGAGACGGAGTCATGACTAGTTGTCTTTGTTGTGTTGTGCTGTTAAATAACCGATTAACGACGAACCTCTACACTGTTAAAGTGACCAGCCAGCACTATTGCTCACTCTATAGCCTGCAAGTGGTTTCTATTGCCCTGTCTCCTTCCCTCATTCTTTTTAACCTCGCTCATCCCCTTAGTACACATTTCTTTTTTGCCTCCTTAACCCTCCACAGCCATTAAAAAATCGCTCGTAGTCACTCGCCAAAATTACTCCCACTTGTACTACCAGGGCTCGACACTAACGGTAGCCCACTAGCCACAGACTAGTAGAAATTCAGTTTAGGCTAGTGGTTTTCAATTTCCCCTAGCCAGTTTGCCTAGCAAACAGACTGAAATTGTCGTAACATCTAAAATGTCACTAGCCACTTGGATAGTAAGTTGAAAAGTCAGTGTCGAGCCCTGACTACCGATACATTTCCCTGCCAATAGGTAATAAGTACAGTCAAAGTAATTAGCTAGAAGGAGTTATCCTAACCCCAAATCAATTAATTGCAAAGAAATGTGTTAAGTTCAGGGAGAAACACAATTCATATCTCGGGAATGGTATAGTTGAAGTATCATATGTACCTGATTAATGGGGCTTCTCTAGCTATCTATATCGAAAGCACCGCATACAGAAAGAAATTTGGTGGCTGTCGCAACGGTAACCAGAATACGTAACTAAGCAACGGTAACCAGAATACGTAACTAAGCCAGAGGAGGAGCGATGGTAATCTCCCACTATACTCCTTACCAGTTACACTCGAATTTCCATCAACATCTGCTTAAACATGGTGGGGCGCGGGGAAATCGAAATAGTTGTATTTAACTCGAAAAAGTTATGTATTTGTGGTCTAATCTGCTCAATGAAATACCATTTACTGGCAATTAAGCTTAAAGAAATGCGCGAGATATCTAATGTTTTGATAAGTGTCACTTAAGGATTGGTCCCCTCCCTCTACCCCTTCGTACATATAAATTTGCCGATCGTCCCGGTCTTCGCCCTTAAGGCGAAAGTCACTGCCGAATAAACACATAATGACAAATTAAAATCACAAAATACAACAATCCTTAAAAAGTTTTCTTCATCTCCATTACCTTGTCAGCAAAAAAAAAAAAAAAAAAAAAAAAAAAAAAAAAAACCAGATCCAAACTGTATTTTACCCCAACTCCTCTGAGCGTAATGGAGATCTTATTATCGTGCAAGGATATTAACCTTCGATGGATTTTTCCCCCATTTTCATTGGCTGAGAGCCCACCACGTGACCTGCAAATAACTGCCTCCAAATAACGGTCTGCTCATGCGTACTATCGTTTAACTCCGTTTTTGCCGCAAATAATATTTTCTCATGCGCAGTAGTAACCACGCCCTTGTGGTCGCTCTTGTGTGTAAACATTATCAGAATCGTTGAACAACAAGACCATAACAACCATTACGGCAACCTCTTCGATTCCTGTAGCTGAGAGTACACCGCAACCACTTCTCACAGCCTCTCAGGAAGAGTATATTCTAAATGAGCTACGTATCGAGCAATCTAACACGCAGCAGACAGTTAATAATTTTTACAATTGCACTTTCAACTTTTAAAGTGAACTTTCAGAGATTGTGTTAAAGCTAATTCATCAATTAACACATTTTCCTTTTTTTTTTTTTTTCGGATTTCAAATCCTTGAAGACTGTGAACTTGTTCCTGGAGGTTTCAGCCATTTGAAGGCATACATTTTGTTTATTGACGGTTGACTGTCCGTACAATTTAAAGTCGACAGAATAAATTAATTAACTGGGAAGGAAACCATTTGATTTCTGGCAGCAGTGCGCGCTTGCCGCTTCCCCCAAAAAATTGAAAACAAACCCGCTTGCCGCTTCCCCCAAAAAATTGAAAACAAACTCGGTGATCGAATGATAAAACAATTATTGAACTCGGTTATCGCAAAATATCGTGATTTGTCGGTGTCTCGCAGATCAGTTATTTGCCTCAGCCTTCGGCTTCGGAAAATAATTGATCTGCTCGCCACGGACAACTGATCATGATATTTTGCTCAACCTCGTCCAATAATTGTTAATTATTTCCATCAAAAATCTAAAGGTATAAACGACAAGTTCTCGGTGTTCCGGTAGGTCACAAATGAGTAGAAATTTATATTATAACGACGAAAGAGGTTCTTTGGAAGAGAAGCTTCTTGTTGACTCTTTCCAAAGAGTTCTACAAGTTTCAGCGGAGGATAAATAATCCAAATTCAAAATGAGCGTATTTAATACACAGCGATCTGCATTTTCTTTGCAAGCCCCCAACCTTCCGAACTGCAAACTGCAGCATGCGGCTAGAATTTTTGAGTGTCAGCCTTTTCTCTACTGAAAAAATTTGTGCATCTGCTATTTGCGAATTCAAGCTTTGTTTTCTGTTCTTCCGTTGGATCCGTCTAAAGAATTTCAATAAGAGAAGTAACGGAACAACTCGTAAATTGCGTCGTTGTGTTTGCAACGATGGATCCAAATGTATCTCTAATGTCTCGAAATGACTGACTGATAGACAAGCCAAAAACAAATTCGTTCGTGTCTTTCAGTCTTTAACAAGTACAAATTAGTCTCTGACCTACCTTTCAAAGATCCAAACAAAATTCAATTTCTTTAGCTTCACCATTACGTAATAAACCGAAACCACGCCGAAAAGGCGCGGGTTTTAGCTTCGTCTTCGTGTGTCCGTTGTCAACACACGAGCATGAGGCCTGGTAACGAGGTAGTGGACAAAAACATCATATCGGGCAGTTGCGAGCGTTTGGAAAATATATTTTCGCTCAATCAAGATTTAGCGGTTAGAGGACGGTTGTATAACAAATAAGCAACCAAGGCCTTGTTTATTAGTTATTCAAAGTACCCAAGTAACATACATATACTATACTTCTGAAGTACTTTCTGCACACGAGACCATGCATAGTGTCAATTTTTTATGCGACAATGGTGCGACTTATACTGCATAATTCTTCATCATCAAACGGAAGTAAACTAGCAAATAGAATAGGAAAAACTTTCCCTAATTTCAGGGCGGAAGCTAGACATCATTTAATGTTTTGAAGATGTCAGACCTAAATATATCTGAATTTCAATATCGAATCTCTGAAAATCCCTGACAATCCCTGACTTGTGTTCATACTTAGGATAGACACCCTTACCTGATTAACTTAATTACAATAACAGAAACAAAGATCGGATACAGTAGTAGTAGGAACAGGACCAAAGCAATAACCGCTGGTAATCTATAACGGCTCGACATCACATTACTAACATCCATCCCTCCAAGAAAGGTATTCCCCAGCCAACCAGAGCTACGGATGTTTCTCGACAGCCTCTCGGCACTGAATCCAGTAGCAGTCGCTCCCTTGATGTTGTTATGAACCTGCTCTTCAATCTCACGCCAATTAGAGGAATATGCGAGAGTCTGAACGCAGAACTCTTTCGCGAACTCGACACAGTCCTCGAGTAAAACGCTATATCGATGAGGGGCAGCTCTGAGGGCAACAAACTGCAAAGCATTCAAGGTGATCTGCTTAAACCGGCCGATGTAAAAGTGCTTCTTAATTCTTTTTACGATGTCTCTAAAGAGCTGGACATCCTTACGTATCTTGTACATTCGCTGCCGTTGGTCTTCCATGCACAATTCGAACTCCCAGCAGAGCGAAACATCTGGCACATCAAATGGAGTTTTCAACACATCAGAAAAGTCGACCAGACCGCTTTCGTCTTCGCCAGCAGGGACGCACAGAACAAAGCCGTGCCAAGCCTTGTTTATACATATGAATAAATCTATGTCCATCATATTTCCAGTTGATGCTAGCTGTTTTATCCGTTCTTGGTCTTTATTCTTATAGGCCTTAATAACTTGCCCATCGAAATCAGAGAGCGTGTTTACGTAATAAGCTAGCGGTTCCACACTGCGCAATGAGCCCTCTACCATTTTCTCTGTTGTGAAACAATTTTCTCACTCTTTCACTGCGGTTTCTGTTTCCACTTTGAGCTTTTCTTTTTAATGAATCTAGGGCACAATCAAAACAAAACGGGTTTTAGCCGAAACATTGATTTACACACTGTATCAATTATTTGCGCCCGATCAATTCTCTCGGCTACACTAATGACACAACGATGCTAAGGTAAAAAACAAGAAAAGATGATATAACGCGCGAAAGCAAGGAAGATTTTGAGAATAATTTTTTCCTCTTTATGTGGACCACAATTTTTCTTCGGGCGAAAACAGCGTTAAATGAATATCGCTGTTATGATACTCAGGAATCCGATCTCTGATTACCTGGTTAAGACGTCTGCTAGTAAGTCCACGGAAATATGGCTAAATACTTACCTTACACAGTCGAAGCCACTTGGAGTTCGCTAAAATCAATATCCTTGAGTTTCTGAGTGATTCACGGTTTTTGACAAAGTCTCGCATGCGATCAGTACAGTCGATAGAATATGGCAGATAGCCTTGCACGATGTGATTAAAATACCCGGAAGTTGTAGCCATCAACCTCGTTCCTGGGGTCCTCTCTCGTCCTCCCTCGGGGAAGGTTGAGGCTGATCACGTGCCTATTCAGACCAAAGAACACCTTACGGAGGGTGGGTCCTTGTAGTCAAATTCTATCGGCGGGAGGAACAAATCGCAAGTGCTTTCTTCAGCAACCATTGACAAACATTTTACGCATGAGCCCTCTCCCTCCATTTGTAATTTTAATTTTTGTAATCTACCAAATTCTGGGAGACATAACCTGGTCCTCTCTCTCGTAAGAGAGACTACTCTAGAAACAAGGTTGAGAAGTGATGCGCTCTTGAGGCACTTATTGCCCCAGCAAAATTTATTGGCGAATTTATACAAACTGGCAAATCAAACCTTCTGTCAAAATATGTATACCGATGCTCTTGTGAACTTAGAGTGGAATCAAATGGAACGAGATTATGGTAACGACGATGAACCAAGGCTTGCTGACGACTCAGTTCCGAGCTGATGGCAAAAAACAGCTCGCATTGCACAATTTTGGTAGATAGTTCTATCACAGGGGACCTAAGCTCACAGCACGAAACGAATGTGAACGTGACTAGCGGTGTTGTGTTACATAGACGTCATTTTAGAGAGGATTGTTTGGGAACCTTGCCGTATTTTTTGTGTAAAACAAATGTTTTGGTTTCGGCAAGTAATTTCTGTTTGATGTTACACTCCTCACATTTTAAACTCTACGAAACTGTTTTCACGGCATAAGACAATGGTAAACATCGAAGAATATAACAAGGCCACAGGATACGTAGATTTTTTTGCACAAAACATTTGACATCTTCAAGGAAAAGTGTTGAGTTTTCATAAAAACCCTCGTAAATGGTGTTTTTGCAACACAACAGCGCTTGCAGGTTCTTGAAGGCAAGAATCACGCTCACGTTCGTTTGTGTCACGAGCATGTAGATCTTAGGAGGAAAAAGTCACGTTCATGTTCGTTTCGTGGAGCTTGGGATGCCTGTGATTTAAAAAAAAAAAAAAAAACCTGCCTTACTAGTCTTGTTTTATCCACATTCTTATTAATATCGTGTAGCAGATACTAAATATGCACAGAGACTAAATATACATTTGTTCTGTATTGATCGCTTTTGTTTCCAAGATTTGCCTTTTTGTTTGTGGATCACCCCAAGATGTCTGCAACACCACCTCTGGCTTTAATATTCACACAAACGTGTTATAACGAAACACCAAGGACACAAATCAAAATGTGCCTGAAGTTTGTAGAGTTAACTCTTTATACTGGCAAGACGTATCAGAATATTTGCACCGCTTCATTGGCTCTATTAAGGTCACCAGCTGTTTTTGATGTACATTTACATATACCAAACCACGAGAGTACCAAAGCGTTCTTTGCGTCGGTCGTCAAGCCGTTCAGCTATTGCCCTCTATTTTTTCTCCTTCTTTTGATGAAGATCCCCAAGGTCAGGTGTGCAAATAAAAAATAGAATTGCCTTTTAGAAATGTTTTTACTGATGTTAAACAATAGAATATTATGCGAACAGACAAATAATTTTATTACCGAATGCACTCGAAGAAATCCATCTGTCACGCAATCAAGCACACGAGAATAATTTTATGCGTTCGTGGACACGTGTTCTGCGTGGAAAATAGACATCAAATCATAACGCACCGTGATGTCTTCAAAGAATGTTATCACAATCGGTCGACTCGTTCGGAAGTGCCTTAGAAAAGCGTATTTTCTTCCACAAAAACCCTCGTCGTACTCTAAAGGATACAGGTTCTTAAACGACAAAAAATACTGGACGTACGATTGTCCACCGTCTCCTTTGTACTTCGATCGCCTTCTGTCGCCATTTCGTCATCTTCCCGCAGCCGGAAACGAAATTCCTATAATAATGGAGTGTACACCTGAATCGTACTTGCTGGAGCACTGGAAAAAATGGCTTCCGGCTTTTCCTCCCGTTGTTATTAAATCACTGGACGAAGGCCTGAGAGATGATGTTCCTGTCATTACCACGGCGGCGCTGGAAGCCCTCCCAGAACACAAGCATAGTGTACCTCCCGATCTTTTATACGAACTGCAGCTTAAGAGCACCATTCTCGAATTAGGGGTCCCATTTCCACGACATCTAGCCAAAGACGCTATTACATATCCTTGCGCTGTTAAAGCTGATATGAGCGTCGGTGGGCGCGGGAGCTGGCTTGTCAAAAACGAAAGGGAATTGTCGGATACACTTCGGCAAATTAAAGATGTGTGCAATTGGAAAGGAGGGACTCTGTTTCAAGAATACATTCCAGGGGTTAAAGAAGTGCCTAGCTTCCAATTTTATCTGCACAAATCCGGCGAACTCTTTTGGGTCGGCACAACAACTGGTGGATTTACTGGATGCTTTTCATGGACTACCGGATCAGTGGACTGGGACAAGCAAGAAGAGTATGAAAACCTTGTGTACAAAGAGTTCACATTACCCATAAAAGATTACCTGCAAAGGCGAGGCTTCTTTGGCCTGGTCACTTTTGAGGTGTTAATTACAGATCATGGAAAGTACCTGGTGGATGTAAACCCAAGGATAGGAGGTGACACCACACACTTGTTACTTGCTCGTCACATGGCTTTAGATATTGGCTTCAAGCATTCAGCAATTTTTTGTAAAAATAAGCATCCCAACATAACTGCAAAGGAACTAGTTACAAGGGCAAATGCCAGCAACAAGCAAGATGAAGGATTAACTGTTGTACTATCAGTTGCCGATGCTGAAGTAGGGTGCGAGTCATATGTGTCTGTTTTTGCAAGGACACCAGATGCAGTACAAGCTCTTTTTTACAATTTGAATAACTGATTGATGAATCATGGTTCATTAACCTTCATTAATATTCATTACAGCAATCGGTCAGTTGTCATTTAAAAATGAAATGATAATTTGTAGGTTACAATATTTTAAATCTATTAGTAAGTTGGAAAGTCTTTCTTTCTAATGTTATTTAAGGAGAAAGTACAGAAAAGCCTACCTGCTGCAATATTTGATTGAATCTGTTGATCATAAAAGACTAATTTATAATTTATTTTGTCTTTGCCACATAAGTAATTCAGAAGATCACCCCGGCAGTTTTTCACTTAGTAGTCAACACGTCAACACTTTTTGACTGCAGAACAACTCATAAATTTGCTACAATATTTTTGATACTTACTCCCTGAGGCAGAGCTGAATGATGTACACACATATGCTAGTTTTGCTGCGGAAACACGGATGAGTCATTCGCATGAATGATTTCCTATTCTGTTGCTTCAGGTGTTGTTTTCCTTGCCGCTTTTCTTTTACAGAACAACTGCCAAAAACTTGGTACACCCCCTGAAAATTTTCAAAAATTAATTTCTCCGTAAAACCTCTGGAAATAGAAAAATGCCTTCAACGAAAACAGAGTTCCTCGGTTTTAAAAGTCAGCTCTTACTATTTTCTGCTAATTTCACTAAATTTTAGACCTAGGACACTTGAGCCCACGTTGATGACCGCAACTCACTGATGTAGCATTTCATTATTCAGTTCTGTCACGTACTGAGGCCTTTGAGTGAAGGTGGAAAGGGAGTGGGGGGTCAGCAGCCTTGTTACCATGTAGCATTTTTCTATATATTTAGGTCTCCTCAGCATTTGCACATGTTTCTGTTGTTCCTTTTGGGGGTAGGGATACTATGGACCTTTCTGAAAAGTTTGATAGTTTGTTTATGAAAAATTAAGAAATAAATGGTCCTTGTGCATGTTAACTCCTGTTTCAATTGTCTGTTGTTCTTCATGTTTTTCTTTTATAGGGTCTGAAATTATGTGGGCACATGTTGTTTGGCATATTTTTGAAGTTGTTGATGGTTTTCTCCTTTTCTGTCTCACTATATTGAGCACTGGACTTTTGTCAGGGGGGCCAGATACATAGGAGTTGAACTCTGTAAAAGAAGAATTATGGTTGTAATCTCCATAATCATACAATACAGTAAATGAGCCACTTACAGATTGAAGTTTGAAATTCGAAAGATTCAATTGACCTTTAAAGGAATGTTTTCAAATTTATTAAGATTTCAATTAGGGGAGCTGCCATTTTGGTTGAAACCACTAACTTTAAACATATTAACTAGCCTTCCTCTTGCTTCATCTTTTTTAACACCACTTTGAATGACTTCCCTGTTTTCATTTAGTTTGCAATACATATCAAGTTTGAAAGTGCAAGTGCAGTCAATTGTTGAACTGAAGACTGTTGTATTGCAGGTAAGCACCAAATTATTACAGCAAAATCCAAAAGGACAGAGTCTATATTCAAATTAGTCATAGTCTTCATGTGAAGAAAATTTCCAAATAGTGGAGTCACTATTTGGGATATTGGAAAAATGAGATCAGTGGCACAATTTTATATATATTGGTTATGTTGTTGTGTTCATGATAAGGCGATCTCAGGCGCATTGCTCTCCTTTTGGTCAAAAAATTAAACATAAGCATCAATCATCAATCAATGTTGGAGATATTTTACACTCCAGTTGGTCTTCTGGAGGAAGGGGAGAGGGGTTTTGTGCCATTTGATGTAAGTTATCAAGTAGTAAGTATAAAAGGAAGGATGTGAGACCTTTGGACTAAAGGCAAGAGGTTCACATCTCAGTACCTGATTTTTTTTTTTCAATCAAAATGCTTGATTTTGAATGCTGACATTTTGCCACATGAATTGGATGCATGTTTTGAGAGAGGCGGTTATTCCATTTGTTCCTTTTTTCCCAGGAAGTGGAGTAGGAGATCATAGGGGTGCTGTATCAACCCTTTTAATGGATCTCTGTTAGGCTCTGCCCCCTTCAATCCCACATTTCAGCCAGAAATAACCACAATTGCAACATTAGCTCAGCTAAACAAAATATGCAGTCTCACACTCTTTCCATCCATCGTTTTATCGGGTTCTAGCATGGTGATATTATACATATTTTAGAACTTATTTCAAACAACTTTTGACAAGGACATCACTCCAAATCAATAACAGGCGTGTTGTCCACTTTCAAAACTGCATAGAGTTTTTCTTCTTCCAACGAACCACACCTTAAGCAATTTGAGAAATCAGCAGAGGGGTACAAGGGTATAAGAAACCCCATCCCCATGGGCAGCTTTCAACTCCACCCACCCTGAACACCATGGTAGTAAGCCCAGGCCCAGATGGTATAGAATTCTGGGTATCTCTAATGAAGCTGGTGAGAAATAATCTCACAGGAATGTTTGAATCAGTTTAGATTACTCAAGACAAAGGTAGAGTTGATAGCAATTACTAAGAAGATTGGCATCTAGTTTCTCAAGTTTTCTATTTACCCTATTCTTAATTTCAATTCAATTAAGTATTGTAGCAGATGGACTTTTCCACACTTTCTCCTAAATAATCATGAATATTTTCCGGCTACTGGCGTAGTGCTGAGAGCGCTCGCCTTCCACCAATGTGTCCCGGGTTCGATTCCCGTACCCGGCGTCATAAGTGGATTGAGTTTGTTAGTTCTCTACTCTGCTCTGAAAGGTTTTTCTCCGGGTACTCGGGTTTTCCCCTCTCCTCAAAAACCATCATCATTTGAATTTATTCAATTTAGAGTTTACTTGGATTTACACACGACCCCACAAGCTGTTCAGCTTTAAACATTATCGTGTCTAAATAAAGGTGTTATTATTATTATTACTCAACCGTTAAGCAAGCTAACTAATACATTTATAATATTGTGACCTTAAAATTATCATTTCATTATTTTAAAAATAATAAGCTAAAACCAAAGACCCTTTTTTTGTCATCAAAGAAAAATCTTCTAGTGCGATACTCAAAACGGCCTTTCGCTCGAAAGGCTCAGATTTTTCAATATATAGCTCCGGGGGCGGCCATCCTCCTCTCTGCTTTTATGTAGAGGAGTAGTGGATCACGTGGGAGATGTATCAACCCCTTTCATATATCTCCAATATGCACTGCGCCACTACCCGAAAAGTCTAAATCTTATTTATACATCATCTCTCCTACAAACAGTTTGTTGGTAAAAAATGTCGACCATTTGAAGCGGTTTGCACAACAGTGATGAAGAGTACTGTATGTTTCTTGCGATTCCTACTGAATTAACCTGTGAGTTTTCAAAAAATATCTTGAACGTCTTCAGGACTCTGAGCAAAGACAGACACATCTGAATTACAGCTATAAGGCTCATCGGCGACAGCTAAGATTACAATTCTCCCTTCGATCTTCTCGTTAAGACCGTTTGCCTTCTGAACCAGCTGCTCAAAAGAGATATGGTGTGTATTTTCAGAAAACATTGTAGAGTGCCTTAGGCCAAACTCCGATGCCATATACCGAGCGAGTAGCAGGTGACTTGTTTCACCACCAACGCGCGGATTCAAATCAACCATGTACTTTCCGTTATCTGTGAATAAAACCTGAACGTCACAAGACCATAGTAACCGTTTTTTACGAGGTAGTTTTTGATAGGGATTGTAAACTCTTCGTGCACAATCTCTGAACTCCTCTTGCTTGTTCCAATCAACAGTAGCGGCTATCCATGTTAATCCATCAAATTTACCGTGCGTGGTTCCTACCCAAAACATTTCACCAGATCTGCTAAGATGGAGTTGAAAGCTGGGAACTTCTTTGACTCCTGGAATAAATTCTTGGAACACAATTCCTCCATCCCAACCGCAAACATCTCTCATATGAGTTATGGTGGTGGCAAGTTCCCTATCGTCTTGAACGATCTGACTTCCACAGCCACACCAACCCATATCAGCCTTAATTGTACATGGAAAGCTGATCGAACCCTCTTCCATGTGCCTGGGAACTGGTACTCCAATTTCGAGTATGGAGCTTTTCAGTTGCAGCTTGTACACAAGATCGGAATGTATACTTTGTTTGCGCTCTGAAATGCTCTGCAGCGCGGCTTAAGTGACAAATGATACGTCATCCAATAGCGCCTCATCTACAGATTTGACAGATGCCAGCGGAAAATCAGGCGTGGTTTTCTTCCAGTGTTCCTGTAGACATGACGGCGGTTCATTCTCAATGATCACAGTTACTTTATCGCCGGTTGTTGCCAGATTACGCAATGGGAACAAGGTCTGATTAAAACTTGGCGGTGGAGGAGGCGAATCAAATACTCGGTATTTGGTGTCATTCTGAAATTTGTATCCTTTAGAATACGACGACGGTTGTTGTGGAAGAAAGTAAGCCATCTCTAGGTCCTTTTGGATAAGGTCTCCAATCGTTGTCACATTCATGTTCGGAAACATCGACGGCTTCAAGCGAAAGGTACTTCATGGAAGTGTCACGCGTTGTGGTACGCGGTGTTAAGCTACGCAAGGAGTCGTTGGAATAGTACTGGGAACGAAATATGGTCGATTTACAACGCTAAATATTTCGAATTAGTATAATTTCATAGCTGAGCAAAGAGTTTCCAGCAATCTGATTGGTCGAGCGGTTCCTTATGTGACGTTATATAAACCGCTCCACGCGGTTTATATTTAACAATTATTCGCCTCAGGTTCGGTGAATACCGTCGAATAATCCCCGAGACGAAGTCGAGGGGATTATTCGACAATATTCACCGAACCTGAGGCGAATAATTGTTAAATATAAACCGCGCGGAGCGGTTTATGAAACGTCATATAACGAACCGCTCGACCAATCAGATTCCTGGAAACTCTTTCTTCAGCTCTGAACTTATACTAATAACTATTATAACATTCATGTATGTTGTACGATATGTCCTATGTAACCTTGTTCTATCAGTTAACTTTGTCCTACCTCATTAACCCCCATCTACCCTAATTTACCCATGTTTTACTACGTTTACCCCCATATACCCTTGATGTTCTACCGCGTTAACCCTTATCTACCCAAGGTAACCCATGTTCTACCACGTTTACCCCCATCCACCCTAGATAACCCATGTTCTACCACGTTTACCCAAATCTACCCTTAGTTAGCCATGTTCTACCACTTTAACCCTCATCTACCCTAGGTAACCCATGTTGTACCACGTTTACCCCCATCCACCCTAGGTAACCCATGTTCTACCCCGTTTACTCCCATCTAACCTTGGTTAGCCAT